CACAGGGTGATAGAAAGTGGCACAAAGATATTACAGTCAACAACGTGATAAAATTAATGGGCCATAAACTTGTGCAAAAACTGGGTCATTTAAAGAATATTTGATTTTATGAAACCTGTCTTGCCCTTTCACAGCAACTCTGCCCCAGTTAGGTCTATTGTTTAGGAAGAAAAGCATATGATTTGGTGCAATATTAAAGCCTTTGTGCTTGAAAAATATAATAAGAATAATTTGGTCAACATGACACACTTATTAATGATTGAAACTTTAGACAAAATGCACTTTATTTTGCATGTATTATATTTAGACCCCAGTTCAGCAAATTTCCCAGTAAGATAAATGGATAAATCAGCATATGACATAAATAGTACTCATTGTTTCACTATAAAACCTTTAAAACCATTCATATGAGTTACCTACCTGAAACACAGCAACACATTGTGTAGAGTGTTCACAGCAGAGCATTTAGCATCTACAGAGATGTTTTTAAGAGCTGAAGGAAACCAAACACGAAAGTCACAGAAAGGTAAACACTGGATGGTCCTCAGGTGGACACCACCTTAATGTCAAATAAGTGCATTTTAATTTAAAGTGTGACTGTCTGCGAACCAGTCTACTATCTCAGCTCCATATACTCTGGATGATTCTGGATGAACACCTACTGGTTATCTGTGCAGCTGATGCTTTAAGCTGCAGGTCCCAGAATGCAAAGCCGTTCAACCAGAACAACAGTGACAGAGGAGCTCATTCTGAGCTGATCTTGAGCACAATTTGTGTGTATTGCGGACAGATGAGCGGACGCCTTGCTATGGTACATTCTTATCAGAGTGTAGAGATAATAAATGCTAAATATATATATGAAATTTACAAGATCATGCATACACACTGACCTCCTGTAATTAAGGCCCCAGTCAACCAGCTTTAGTGAACCCCCCTGGCAACCATCTTCACTAGGGAAAAGTTAGCAGGTTGCTGGAGGTCGCTGGTAGTCGCTGGCGTGGGGTCGATTGTAAAGAGGCCGCACTGTCACCTGTAGCTCGCATGTTATGCATCGACTCATCTGCGAACAGTCGCACACTTCTCGCTAAGCAGTTGAGAAACTTAAG